TTGTGCTGTACCCTTGGTGGCCCCCGTGGACAGGGTGGTGATGTTTTGCCTGTTGCAGTGTCGCAGGCCCTGCGGGAGAACACGTACCCGTTCCTGGCCGTGATCATGCTCAAGGACCGCAGGATGACCGTGGTCGGGCGGCTGGAAGGCCTCATCCAGGCTGATGACCTCATCAACCAGCTGATGTTCATCATGGATGCCAACCAGACATACTTGGTGTCCGAGCGCCTGGAAAGGTAGGGTGGGACCAGAGCTCCAGTAACACACACCGTGTTGAGGCAGGCTCTGCTCTGGCCCCTGCCTCCCTCCAGACACCGTGTGTAGGCACTTAGCTCAGCACCTCTGGTTCTGTGACACAGCCCACGGGCTCTCCTCTCACCAGGGGGATCATCAGTCCATATATTCAGGCCATCTTATAGCCAGGGAGCCAGATAAGTTGCACACACAGTGCCACCACTGATAGGTGGATGGGAGTACTCTGTTCTCTGCAATTGGAGCACACCTTTGGCATGCTGGAGCTCTGCAGGGAAAACTTGAACAATAGCCAGTGGGATCCAAGTGAGACCAAAGGCATTGCAGGCAGGAGATCTGGTGTCCACAGCCAGCTGGTGCCTGTGTGCTGCTGCCTGGGCTGGCTGTGCTGAGTTCTGGCTGCTTTTCTGGTGGGGCCTCACATTTCCTGGTGACTATTAGGGATGTACAGGTTGCATCCAAAACAGGATCCTACCATTTAACTTTTTGTCTGTCCCTCCTCTGTGCCACATTCTGTGTGAGGACACAGTAACATGTTCCAGTTTATGAAATGTGCAAGGAGTTACCTGAAGGAGATGAAACCAGGAAGAGTCTCAAGTATGAGGCAGGAATCCTGGGCACTGTTCTTGTGCTGTCTGTCAGCTCTGTCAAGCTGCAGGGGTTCAGAAGCCTTTTAAGTTCAGTTCTACCCACCCTTGCAAAGCAGTTTGATTGTGAGGGACTGTGGGGACCTGGCTTGGCCTTTTGGAGCTTGTGGTACCCCAAGGCATTATCTGCTGTGTGCTTCTATGAGTTGGAGGCTGTCCCTGCACCCTTGGATCTGCCCTCAGCCTGCCATCCCCTCACCTTAGGGCCTGTCAGCCCTGACCACTTCCACTCGTGTTGCAGGGAAGAGAGGAACCAAACCCAAGTCCTGAGGCAGCAGCAGGACGAGGCGTATCTGGCATCCTTGCGTGCGGACCAGGAAAAGGAGCGCAAGAAGAAGGAGGAAAGGGAGAGGAAGAAGAAGAAGGAGGAGGAAGTGCAGCAGCAAAAACTGGCAGAGGAGAGGCGGCGACAGGTGAGAGCAGAGGGATGGCAGGAGGGGCTGCAGTGTCCTGGCCTGCAGAAGGAATTGTTTGTTTTGCGTGGGGCTTGAGCATCCTTCGAGGCTCCTGGAGCAGCTGTGCTGCCGGGGACAAGCCAAAGGGGAACTCAGTTGAGTGCACAGCCATTGCTCCTGCCCCCTCCTTGCCTTGCAGACCCTGCAGGAGGAGAAGGAGAGGAAGTCGGAATGCCTTCCTCCAGAACCACATCCCGACGACCCAGAGAGCGTCAAGATCATTTTCAAGCTGCCTAATGATTCCAGAGTGGAGCGGAGATTCCACTTCACACAGTCATTGACGGTGAGCTTGGGGCAGAGCTCAGGGGCCTTCCAGGGCAAGGGGGTGAGGAGACTTGCAGGTGGCTCAGCAAAGCTTTTTCCCCTTGGACTTGCCAAATGGTGACCTTTGCTGAGAGCCTTGGCAGGCAGAGCTGCTCCTTGGTAAGGAGAGTGCTGTGGGGCCTGGTTGCACCAGCTTGGAAGAGGAGAGAAAATGGAAGAAGCTTTCTTTGCTTCCTGAAAAGCTGGAAGGTGTCTCTGCCCATGACAGGGCAGGGTGGGACTAGATGATCTTTAAAAGTCCCTTCCAACCCTTAACATTCTATAATTATATTGAATATATATATATATATATGTATTCTATTATAATTCCACTGCTCCCTATGAAATAAAGGTGTAGGAAGAGTCAGAAACGGTGTCAGTTCTCCTCAGTGCTCTGTGCCAAGCCCGGGTTCATGTGTTCCAGGGAAATGGCTGTCTCGGCTCTACAGTGCAGTGATGGTGCAAATTTGGGAGCCTTCCCCGCGACATGCCAGGGATTTGCTCTGGCTGTGTCACTGCTCCCCCAGCTGGCAGTTATTTCTGTGCTTCTTTCCCAGGTGATCCACGACTTCCTGTTCTCTTTGAAAGAAAGCCCTGAGAAGTTCCAGATTGAGGCCAACTTCCCTCGCCGTGTCCTGCCCTGCCTCCCCACAGAGGAGTGGCCCAACCCGCCCACGCTGCAGGAGGCCGGACTCAGCCACACGGAAGTCCTCTTTGTGCAGGACCTCACGGACGATTGACACTTCTTTTTGGTTTTGTTTTTGTTGGTTTTGTTGTTTCGTTTTTGTTTTTTTTTTTTTCCAGAAGACACAAAACGGAAAGAGAAATTCATATTATTATTATAATACAATATTTTTTTTAAAAGACTGCGTACAAACGAGGGATCAGAGACCACATGGCCTGTGCCAGCTGTGCTGCGTGTGTGTGCTGGCGAGAGGACGCGTGCGCACGGCCATCCCCTGCACCGGGGGGACACGCAGGGGGAGCTGGCGTTGCCCCTCTGCCCTCCCTGGGGAGGAACAGGAATGGCAGCTCTTGGTAATTATTGCTTTTATTGATGACAATAATAATAAAACCCCAGCAACCCAACATCTCGTGAAGATTTGATACTCTGCTGCTCCTGAGAGACACAAGACCGAGCACCGGAACGTGCTGGGATTGGGGTGGGGGGAAAGGGCTGGACAGACTCTCTTCAGCTTCCCTCTGTGTATAAATACTGTTCTTTTAATATTTCTCTTGCTTTGTAATGACCAAAGGAGATTGGGGTTGACTATAGTATTAACTTTTTGATAAAGAGCTGGTTCGATTCTTACCCATGTGGGGCCTTGCCCAGGGTTCTTAGCCTGCGTAGTGTAATAAACTCTGCCTCTAGCATGTCTGTGCTGATGCTTTCTGCCCATGCCCCAGGGAGGGGGTGAGCTGCTGTGGGACTTGTGGCTCCCAGCAGTGTGGGTGCACTCAGCTCCTGCTCTCCCACTGGTGATTTTGTGCCAGTGGAGCTGTTGTGTGAGCTCAGGGGAGGTGAGGGAGGAGCTGGTGAGGCTGGGTCAGCCCTCGGTGGAAAAGGCTGGTCCCTGCAGAGCTCGGCCAGGGCTGTGGAGCTGTGCCAGCAGCTGCCCACAGGCAGTGCTAGCAGCCTGTTTCTGCACTGACCTGTTCTGGAGCCAGGAATGGTTGGGGGTGGCAGGAATACAAAGCACACCTCACTCCACCCCCTTGCCATGGGCAGGACCACAGGGATTTCCTCTTCCCTGGCCCAGCATGGGAATGCTGGTGGGTTGGGATGGAAGAGAGGTGGAAGGTGTCCCACTGCTGGGGCTGGAGCTGCCCAGGGAGCTCTGCTGTCCCGGGATAGCAGCCAGGGGGACTTTCCCTTCTCTGTGCAAGCTGTGAGGGGTCGCTAGGTGAGAAGGACGGGCTGTGTGGTGCTGCTCAAAACCAGATTCTGCTGGGGCAAAACCTCCAGCCAGTTCCTGCTCCCACCCTCAGGCCCTCCTGGGCTCTCCTCCAAGCCTCTTTCCAGGGCCCTTTCAGCTGCAGCAGCTCCTTCCCATCCCTGGCCTGCACACTTCCCCCCTCAAGCCCCCATGGAGACAAGAGCTGGGCCCAGTGTGTTGGTATACATCATACATTTATTAGTGAATATCCCTCTCAAAATCAGCCACAACATTAAAAAAAATAATGATTGCACTACTTGGTCAAGCAGAACTAGCAACTTTCATTTTAAAAAAAGTACAAATCTGTTAAAAATTTCAATCAGTATAATACACATATATATAATACAACATACTAGTTATGTTAAATGCTACAAAACCAATATGATTCCAATGGAATGGAAAAAAACAAACACTTTTAGAGCTTTAAGAACCTTTTTTTTCTATATATTAGCCTTTTTTCAAATACATACATGGGAAAAATGAGGTAACTGTAAAATGTGCAAGTAACAGAGCAAAAAAAATTATATATATATATTTATATATATATATATATATATAAAAACTTTCTAACACAGAACACACGTCCTAGCACCTTCCGGGGAGCCGCGGGGAACGCGGGGGTCCCACCGGAGGGCCCGGGGACTGGTATAATAGAACAGTAAACAGTCCACTATCCCACCACAGGAATTCATTGGTAAACAGTGGTATCTACAGCGCAGTCAGCAATCACAAACACCCTAAATAATTGTTTTTTAGTATTTTTTTTGTCATTTTTTCTTTTTGTTATTTTTTTTTAAATGATACTTTTAGCTGCTCATTGGAATAAATTCTGCAGCACACGAGCTGTGAGCTTTCGAGTCGCCGTCAAAGGACCGTAAGGCTTTCCTGGCTCCCTGGGCACCGCGAGGGCGGGAGGGGAGGAGGGGGCGTCTCCGGGGGCGCGAAGCCGGGGACTCCTTTGGTTATCTGTCACTGAGTGAGGGACGGGGAAGGGGCCGGGGTCCTGCCCAAGGGGCACCGAGCCCAGCGGTGCCGGGCCGGGGCCCTTGGCCTCGATGCTCCGCACAGAGCGCGGCCGCCGAGAGGTGGGAAAGGGCAGCGAGGGGGAGCTGGCCCGGAGCCCCCCACTGCTCGCCACCCCCGCGCCCGACCCGGGCAGCGTCCGGGGCCGGCCCACCGGTGGCTGGCACTGCCCCTCCGGCCCTCGGCGTGGGGAACACCACCGTGCCCACCCGTGTGCCAGGCGCGGCCCCTCACCTCGCACCCGGCCGTGGCTCGGCCGGGGGCCAGCCCCGCGCCTGCCCCCCGCCCCGCGGGGAGCCGCCCCTCCCGCCCCGGGCCCTTGCACACGCCGCCGCCGCGGGCGCGGACCCCGCGGGGACGGCCCTGAAAGTCTCACGGTCCTGCTGTGGCGTTGCGGACATGTGCAGTACAGTGCATGGCAGTATCAGCTGAGCACAAAAACCCCTCTCCCCACCCCCCTCACCCCACAGCCGGCTAGACGTAGCCAAGACCACGTTCCAAGCTGGTCAGACATGCATGCATATTTGTGAACATTTACATAGGGCTGGCGTCCGCTCGGAAGCTCCCAGGCGTCAGCGACGCGCCAGGAGGGGAGGGCGGTGCTCTCACCACCACCCCTGCCACCGCCTCCCGTCACCCTCCTCGCTAATTAATCATGCAAAACAACGGCCACGCGGGATTGATGGAGCCGGGCGGCGGCGTGGCGGCTTCTCCCCCAGCGCCTGCACGGGCTGGGGGGACACGGTGGCAAGGGGACCGCTCACAGCTTCCCCTGCACCAGCCGGGCCAAGGCCAGGGTAGCACTGAAAATACTCCACGAAGTTATGAATAAAACCCCCGCCGCTCCGGGGGCCGCAGCCCAGCCGGCCCCTCGCTGCCCACCGGCCGGGGAAACCACGCCGTCCAGCCAGCAGGACGGGGCACGGGGCTACCTTGATTTATGTCGTCGGGACAGAGATACGAGCAGGAGCCGGGGGCCGGGCAGCACACCTGGAACACCACATGCCCAAAGCCCTAGGGACGGGGCTGGTGTCCCCTCCTCAAGCTTGGCTGCCTTGCGGGATGCCACATGGCCTGGCCCCGGGAGCTGTGCTGGCCAGGCACAGGGGAATGAACAGGGAGAGGGGCCAGGGCTGCACCAGCACCATCCTCCCACTGGCAAAAGATCCCAAGCAGCCATAGGCCTCTGGGGCTCCCAGGGCAGCCGAGGCAGGAGAGAGGCCGTGCCAGGCTGCGCACAGGAGCAGGGACAGAGGCATTCCTGTGTTCCTGCCTTTCTGCCCCAGCCACGCTGTGGGGTTGCTGGTGTCCCACCTTGGCCACACTCTGCCAGCCACCTCCTCCGGCTGTCCCCGGGGCCGGGGTGCTGCCGGCATCAAACCCGCAGTGCTCCTTCCTCTCTCCTCCCCGTTTCCTCCGAGAGCAATGCTGAGGGGAGGAGCCACCTGCGTGCCCCTAGGGCAAACGGCCAAGGAACCAAAACATGACGGAAATGAAAAGGAAACAAGGGGGAAAAAACTATCGTAAAAAAGAAAACAGTGACAAAGGGAAAAAACCACTAATTCCCTAGGAGAGTACAAAGACCTGGAAAGTGATGGAGCAACAACAGCGTCTTTGGAACGCAGAGGGCATGGCCACACACCTCCCGCCTCCAGCACAACACGATTCGGGGCCCTGGGAGCGCAGCGGGCAGGCGTCCGGCTGAGTCCGTGCCCCGGCGGGGAGGAGGAGGGCTGGCCGGGAGCCCAGACTGCTCAATGCTCACCACATCCGAGGAGAGGCTTTGGGGAGGGGGGGTAAGCGCAGGGTCAGGCCCTAGCAGCGGGCAGCAGCCCCCGCCCCAGCCCGGCGTCCTTGTCCTCTAGCGAATTGTGCGGCTCAGCGCCCGCCAGCCTCAGTCTGCCTCCCGCTGCACCTCCGACGCGTCCGCCCGGCAGATCGGGCACGTGCGGTTTGCCTGCGGGCAGAGAGACGGGGGCAGGTGAGCGGCACCGCTGGCAAGGCTGGAACCACATCCCAGGAGTGCCTTATCCAGCCCTGCACAGTGCTCGGCCCCAGCTCCCGGTGCATGCAGGACACTGAGGCCACCCAGAAGGCAGCACCCTGCAGCATCCCCAGAAGCCGCCCCACTCCCCAGAGCGGGCACAGGCAGTACCTTTAACCATTTGTCGACACACTTGGCGTGGAACTCGTGGTTGCAGGGCAGGACGCGGAGAAGCTGCCGGGCCTCAAAGTCGCTGAAGCACACGACGCACCTGGGGGAAGCAGCCATCAGTACAGCCCCACTGCCAGCCACGGCCCCTGACCCCCGTCAGGCCCCCCAGGTGCACCCCAAGCTCACTCACAGGGTCTGCTCAGACTGGTGGCTCTCGGGGTTGAAGCGGTAGGACGGGAGGTGCTCGATGTCTGCTTTGGTGAGTCCCCGTGGCTTGGCCTCCCCCAGCCGCTCGGCCAAGTTCAGCAGTGCCTGGAGGGAGATGCAGAGGCCAGCTCAGCTCATCTCCTGTCCTGGCACAGCATCCCTCCAGGGGTGCTCCCCACTCCAGATGCTCCCCAGCTTCCAGGAGACTCCCCCCTCCAGCAGAGCAATCAGCAAACCCCCAGTTCTCCCATCCTATGACTCTGAGGAAGCCAAGCAGACGTACCTCATAATTCTCCATCTCCACATCATCCACATCCAGGTCTAAGCTGATCGTGGGCCCCACGGCTGTTGGTGACACAGGAAGCATAGAACTGGGGGGGAAGGACAGGGCAGTCAGCATGGGGCCGCAAATCTCAGCATCCACCCTGGCACCCCACAGGGGGCTCCCCCCTGTGCCAACACAATGCCACTGTGGTCCCCATCCACAGTGCCACCCCTGCCCTACGCATCCTAGAATATCCCCACCGGTACTCACAGGAAATAGGGCAGGAAGCTCGGATAGTAGGGAGGAGGCGGCGGAGGGGGTGGCGGTGGGGGCAGCGCCTGTTGCAGCCGGTACCGCTGGGTGTTCAGCCGCCGGGGCATCATATGGGGGTATGGCTGCAGGGAGACATGGGGCACTCAGAGCTGTGCCAGCCCCACAGTGTTCCCAACCCCACCCCAGGATGGGGACTCACCACGCCAAATGGCAGTTCTTGGTGCAGCGGGTCGTGGGGGAGGTAATGCAGCGGCATGGAGGGCGACAGCGTGGGAGCGTGGTGAGACGGAGGGTATGTGAAGCCTGCGATGGGGTGCTGCTCCCCTCGCAGGTCCACGTCATTGTCTATCCTCTGCAGAGGCTGTGGGGAAAGAGTTAGGCTGAGAGGAGCATCCCAAATTACACCTCCCCGACACTATGAAGACAGAGCCACTCTGGGCACCCTGCCCACCACCCCCAGCTTAGACCCACAGGACTGCAGAAGGACAAGACCCCAAGGTGGTGGGTGCATCATGTCCCCAGTCTGTCCCTCCACCCCAACTCACCATACGTGGATGCTGGGCTTGGAGAGGTACAAACTGCCCCAGGGGGGCCATGTGGGGCGGCTGGTGGGGGGGCACTGGCGGCGGGGGTGGGTGCAGGATGTAATGGTCGCTGGAGATGATGGGGGGGAATGTCTGGTAGGAGACGGGAAGTTGTTGCATGGCACATGCCTGAATCAGCTGTGGGGAGAGATGGAGAGAAAAACAAGGGTCAGACACCCCTGCCCCCTCCTCAGGGCCTCCAAAGGACCCTGTGATCCCAGAAATTTGCGCTACAGTGGGCTTGGGTACCCACAACACCTTTGGGCACTCACGGCCCAGGCTGCAGGCTGTCCCCAGGTGTCCCCTGCTGTGACTCACCGGGGGTGGGAGGCAGCAGAGCGGGTAGTGCTGTCCGCTGAACATCACTGAGCATGCTGGGAGCTGCTGGGTGCTGCACCCAGGGATGTGCTGGCCAGCGTGGATGGGGAAGCCTTGCGTCGTTACGGTGGTAACCGTGTAGGAGAGAGGGACAGGTCCCTGGTGCACCTAAGGACAAGGTGCCGAAGGCACAGTCAGGGTGCAGCCCTGTCTGAGCTGTCCCTGTCCTGACAGGGTCACAGCAGGATGCTGGGCACTCAGCACTGGGACAAAACACCTGGCATGCCCATCCTGCTGGTGTGGCCACAGGGACGGGCTGAGTGAGGGCTCAGCTTGAGGGAGTTTTGAGCCCTTCTTTCCTCCACACAGACAGGCTGACACAGCCTCCAACACATCACCATTACCACGGACTATGATGACAGTTGTCACATGAACAACCCTACAATGCAACTGTCCCTAGCCCCTGGGAGCAGGGACCACCCTGGACATACCCAAAAGGCAGAGGGACCCCAAGATTTAAATCTCAGAGAACCAGAGCACCAGCAGGTTTAGGGCTGGGTGATCCCAGCAGCAAGTGGCCAGAGGGGACCTAAGGACATGTCACCACTCCAGACAACAGCCCAAGGAACACCACAGGATCACACTTAGGAGTGGGGCTGGGGGCTGCAGCACCTACCTGGTCATGCAGATCCACCATGAATGGGTTCTGGTGGGGCGGGTGAGCGGCTGGGTGAAGCATTCGTGGCGGCGTGCTGGCAAGAGCGTAGGCACGGGGCTCATCTACAGGGATGTGCAGCTGCTGGGGGAAGGCAGGGTGCACCTGGGGCTCATCCTGGCCCAGCAGGGTTGCCAGAGGTCGATCGCGTCGTCCCCACTGACGCCTGGCAGAGGGGCTGTGGGGCCACCGCAGGAAAGAAACAGAGCAGGAGTGACCCCCCAGGCCAGAGGGGCACCACAGCCCCAGGCAGGATGGCTACAGGAGGATCAGTGCCAGCCCAGAGTGAGATGCTTAGGGCATTGTGCCAGGCCACGTCAGGCTGGGCAGCTTCAGAACCAGCTTCTCTGCTCACCCTGCAAGTGCTCTCTCGGTGTCCGCAGCATAAAAAGGACCCCTGCTCCCCAGGGACCCCTCATTTGGGCCAGGGGGATGTGCTTCCCTGTCTATGTCCCCCCAAGCCCCACTGGGAGCCGGTGCCTTGTCCCAGCAGGACCAGAGAACTGGCCCCACAACCCCGTGTGCCACAGGGGCAGGGCTCCACACCACCCTGCAGCCCGTACCTTCGCCGGAGGTGGTCGGGGCTGCTGCAGGGTCCCCCCGAGAAACGGCGCTGGGCAAAAGGGGCAGAGGGCGGCCGCCTATGCACTGCCAGTTCCCATGGTCGCATTGGTGACGTCGGGAAGCGGATGGGCACACGGGACCTCAGGCTCCAGGCAGGGTAAGACACCAGCACCTTGAATTCTGCAAGAGGGACAGCGGGTCATGGCACTGTCCCGCCACCACTCAGGCTGCTGCTCCATCCTCACAAGGATGGTGATGCTGACAGCTGGAGCTCTTGCTGCTCCTCCACCTTGAGCTGCACCCACCCCATCTCTTGGGGTTGGATGTGGCCCTGAGAGGGGCTAGGAAGAGCCTGTCCCCAACTCCCTTGTTACTGTTCCTCCCCTTCATGGCCAGAGTCACCTCCCATGCACAACACAAAGAGAGAGAAAGACTTATTTTTGCACTAATTTTTGGCACAGAGGAAAGAAAGTGATGAAGAACTCTGTGGCTATGGCAGCATCCCAGCCTGCTCACCGGCCAACAGGGAGGCTGAGCATGGCATGGGGAATTTCCAGCAGGTCCTTGATGCTGCTCTGGGGGGTGCTCTTTGTTACTGAGCTCTTGCACATCCTACTCTGGAGTGACACTGCTACCCCAGTGACCAGCACAGGGGCTGGCGGTGGCAGGAGGGCTCATGGCCCTTCTCTGTCAACTCTCTGCTGCCAACAGGGCACAGCCACACATCCGCACTGAGTAGGGGACAAGCATGGGCTGTGCTGAAACCAGGGAGGCAGCTCTGCTCCCCCAGATGCTCCCCAAGGCAGTGGGACAGTGGAACACTGCCCTGGCCCTGTTCCATCTCCCCTCCTACACCCAGCCCGACTGGTGTTCTTGCACCAGAGCTCCCAGGACACAGCTCAACCCCTCAGTCCCAATGAACCCTGACACTGCACAGAGGAGACATCTACATTTAGGGCTGGGCTTCCCCAGGCTCTGCTTTCCCAGGTCCCAAAACAGCCTTCCTTGCCTCCATGTGTATCCAAGCTTCCCTTGGTACCCCTCCATTGCCCAGCTTCCTTTGGCCTCCACAGCATCAGGCCAGCACACAGCAGCAGCCAGGGCCTTGGCACCACAGCCCACACACCCACCCCTAAATCCAGCTCACTGCAGGCTGGTGAGGTCCCCCCAAAGCAGCTTCTTCAGCTCCACCTCCTGCTCAGTGCCCATGCCAAAGACACACCAAGGACAGGAAAGACACCCTGTGGACCTGGAGCCAAGGGAATGCTGCTCAGCAGGGGGATCTCAGCCCAGCAGGGAGAAGCTGCAATGTCACTTTTGGGTGATGGCTATCAACAACCACTGGGACAAGTCCTGTGCCACACACAAATCTCTTCTTAACCTCACCTTCATCTCCACACTACCATAAAAGCTGAAAGCAAATTTCTCTCTTTGTTTTGGTAGAAAAAAGGAAGAAGAAAAGCAAAAGCCACAGGCTGAGCCCTCCCAGAACCTGTCTGTGACTGCCACCAAGGAAGGGGGTGTGCCTGGCCAGGAGGTTCCTTCCAGAGGGAGTTTATTCTGCCCACCCTGAAGCTCTGCCCAGCTGCAACATGCCCCTGAGTGGGCTGGGAGCCAGAATGCAGCAACAACCCAGGCTTAGCCCCACTCTGAAGAAACCTCCCTGATGTGTTACTGCTTCCAGTTCCACATCCTCACCCTCGGAGCACACGTGGTGTCAAGGCCCTGTGTGATCCAGCGGGCACCTTCCAGACCAAGCACCACAGCAATGGGCTTGGGGATGGGCAGCATGTCCGCAGAGGAACACCGAAGCCATACAGGGGCTCGCCTGTTCCTGGGACCTCCAGAGCGGAGGGCTGCCTGTGCTCCTGGAACCCAGGACAGCATCCCGAGGCAGGACGGCACCCCCGACTTGCGGGACAGCGCTGGCCCGGCCCTCGTCCTGCCACAGGCAGCACCCGTGAGGTACCCACCCTCCTGTCCCAAGCGGGCACACCCGGCTCCCTCCGCGCCCGGGGCTGGGAGCCAGCGGCCGCTCCGAGCAGGGTGACCGTGACCCCGCGGAGGCCACCGCAGCTCCGAAACGGAGGGGATCGCGGTCCCGCAGCCTCTCGGAGGGGCGGGGGGAGGCGGCTCCCGAGCCCCGCCGAGAACAAAGTTAGCAGCGCGCCAGCGCTCACGCCCGGTGCCATCTGCTCGGGCAGAGCCGGGCTCCGGGGCTGCCGGCGGAGCCGCCCGCCCTGGGGGTCCTGCCGCCCCGCTGCCACCCGCCGCCGGCTCTGTCCCGGCACCCCGAGCTCTCCCGTAGCCCTTTCCCCGCCGTTCCCAGGCGGACGCCGCCAGCTCCCCCGGGAGCGAGGTCACCGCTGGCTCGCTCCGCCGCACCGGCAGCCGCTTCGGAAGGACGACCCCGACGCCCAACGCCACCCCCAGACCCGACCCAAAGCCGACCCTCGGTGTCCGGGACGGCGGCGCACGGCGGGGCGAGCGGCACAACCCGGAGCGCACCGACGGAGCGCCCCACCGTGCAGCAGCACCCCGGGGAGGCACCGCGGCCACCGGCAGCCGGGAGCGCAGCCCAGCCCGCGCCCCCCGCCGCGGAGCCCTGCCGGTGCCGGTACGGATCTGTGGCTTTAAGAGCGGCCGCTCCGGGGCCATGTGCTCGGCGCCAAACAAAAGCAATAACAAAGGCGGCCGCCGGACCCCGCCGCCGCCGCCCGGGGCAGGTGCCGTCGGGGGTCCGGGGGGCGGCCCCCGCCCCCGCCCCGCTCCCGCCCCCCCCGGCCCGCACGTACCTGCACCGATAGCCTGGGCCGCCGCTCCGGTGCCGCTGCGGCGCCCCCGCCCCCTCCCTCCCGCCGCTCTTTGTTCGCCGACGCCGGGCCCGGGCCTGCCCCCCCCGCCGGCCCGCCGCCGGCCCTCCCCTCCCTCCCTCCCGCCTCCCGCCGGGCCGGCCCCCTCCCCGCCACCGCTGTTTCCGGTGCCTCTTTGTTTTCCGCGGCGCGGCGGGCCGGGGTGCGCGGGGGGTGCCTGTCCCTTTAAGAAGCAGCGGGGCGCACCGGGCCGAGTCCCGGCGCTCGCGGGCACCGGGGGCGCGCGCGGCTGGCGCGGGGGGGGGGGCGGCCGGGGGCACCGGGGGGGCGGCGCGGCGCGCGCGCGTCCCACGTGACCAGGCGTGTCACGGTCCGCAGCCATCTTGGAGCGCGGGGCCGCCACGCGGGGCGGCGACCCCGGTCCGGAACCGCCGAGGCGGGCCCAGGACGGAGGGCACCGGGCACGCACCGCCCTTCCCCAGCGGCCTGCTGACGCTACCGGCCACCTCGCCCCGCTGCGACAGGCCTTAAGGCGGGTGGCACCGTAGCTGCGGCTGTGCCCCCGCATCTCTCCCGGGCCCTGCTCACCGGGCTGGCAGCTCCGTGGGCCCGGAAGTCGCCGTGCTTCTGTGCTGGTGGGCAGAAAAACCCGGGGGTGGGGAAGCAGCGGCTCAGCTCCCACCACCTTCCGCACCCGGACGGGAGCATGGAGGAGTTCCTCCCCTCCTGCTTAGGACATCGAACCCTTTGCCCGCACCGCATGTGCAGCCAGTTCAAACTTTTACACGCCAGAAAAGCCCCTTTTGCTTCAGAAAAGCCTCCTATTCTCTCACATTAATTAAGCAAGAAGCAGGAACTACTCGGACCGTCTCCTGCACACCTGCAGCTGACCTGAGCGAGTCACCCGGCCGGTGGCTAAGGCTGAGAGCTGGAGAGGCAGAGCCGCCGGCTCCCCGGGAGCTGCGCACCAAGAGGCCGAGCCACCGGACCCCCGTGTGCCCCAGCAGCACCGCTGAGGCACCACTCAAATCCCCGTGCTCCGGACAGCACATCCAGCAGCTTCACAGAGCGCCAGATGCTGCATCCGAGCCTAATTTCCCCCGGTTACAAGGCACACTTAGAAATTCCCAGGTAGGCGAGCGAGCCAGCCGGCAGCCCTGATGTAATGCCTATAAACCAGCCCTCCCCTGACAGCTGGGCTTTAAAGTGCTAACAACCAAAAGGGAGCTAATTAATTTGTAGCATCACCCCTTTCAAAGAAAACCTCAGATTGACGATTTAACAATTCAGTAGCTCATTGTTGCGATGAGCAGTCGGATTCAGCTTTGCCAGATTTCAGCCCTGTGCCCAGGTCCCTTCAGGCCCCTCTCAAGGCTCTCACCTCTTCACCCCAAATCCAGGCGTGCAGGAGGAACTACACCAGGCTCAAGGATCCTCTGGGACACAGAGCATTCTGGGGCAAGATCCCTCTGCCATGACTCTCAGTAGCACCACAGCCAATGCTTCTTGTCCCCGTGGTAGGGGACACACAGGACAAGAAGGCAGCACAGCAAGGCAGACCTATGATAAGTGTCAGAGCCACGCACTTAAGCAAGAACTCCAGCAGGAAGAGCCAAAGCATTGAATCAGCCCAAACCTGAACAACCACCCTCCAGGTCTGTTCCACTACAGCCTCTTTGCTTCAGGAGCTGGGGACTACAGGGAAGTGAAGGGAAATAGCACTCTGTCCTTTGACCTTGCCATTGTTTGTAGGCAGAGGTAGCATTGCACCTTCTCAGGATTGCCAGGACATGGTCTGATCCTGGGCAGAGCACTGGCAGCAGGCAGAGGCCACAAATGGTGGATATCTGTGCAGACACTCCCTCCAGACCCACTCCAGCATCACCAGCTTCCCCGTGGGCAGCAGCTATTGATGTCCTCAGGACGGCATCAGGAGGAGCCATCGATGGAACACAGCTCACACGCTGCTCACGCTCCCTGCCCAGCCAGGCTGGATCATTCTCCTGGCACAGCCACACTGCACACGGCTGTGTCCAGTGAGGACAGGGCACCACACATCCAGCTGCAGGATCAGAGTGTGTGCAAACAGCTCTGCCCACACTGTCTCAGGGACACAGCCATGCACATAGACTCCAACATCACAATGACCCAAGTACAGAGCTGTGCCTGAAAAGCCATGTGAGGGGCCCAAAGCATGCTACAGCAAGGCTGGTAAGGCTGGTCAGTGCTTCAGGGCCAGGACAAGGGAGCCCAGTTCAGCCACAGAGACCTGTGACCACCCCTCAGACAGCCTGTAAGCTTTAGATAGCCCTCCACGTGCAGGGGCTGCTCAGGCTGAACCTGGATGCTCTACAGCCGACAGGTGGC